ATGATACCACTTCGTACCCATGCCAGCACGGCCGCGCCCTTTTCATGCAAGGGCCTGTCTTAGGCGCTGTCTGAACACAAAAGCTTGGGGCATTGGAGTTGGCTTCGATCAAGTTCCTGAAGAAGTTCAAACGACAGCCAAGCTTTGCCTTCCCACCCCACAAACTATGTGCTCTGGCCCAAACAAACCGCGATGTCGTGGCAAAGTTCGGGTGGGTAGGGCTGGGCCCTGTGAGTCCACCAAATGTTATTGGCATCACGTCCTGACAGAATGATGTGTCGCTTGTGCGTTGCACTGCATCGCCCGAGGTGCGGGCTGCAAGTTTTCAAGATGGAGACCAACTTGGGAAAACAACTTGTCAAAAGTCCGGTGTTTTTTCGCCATGGCATACGATATTGACAGTAGTCGACAAAAAGAAGCTGTGCAGTTTTCATCAAAATGCCAAAATCTAGTCAGCCAGCATCGGAAGCTGCCAGGATTTTCAATCACCCAGGGGATCATCATGGTTGAACATAACTGTGCCATCAGGGTTGTCCACAAAAGCAGCTTGTTGCCAAGGTGAAGCTTCTGACAGTCAGGTGGGCTCAAACCTGTTCGTCCCCAAATCTGGCATTCGTCGTCCCGAAGTGGAGGAGGTCCTCCATCGAAACGTCGAGCTCTGCTCCAAGACTGGCATGGCATGCCAAACCAAACTAATGCGATCTTGCGACCAACTATAAAGCGAAGCAAATGACACAAAACATCCTTGTCAAGAACATTGCAACGTGCATTGTATTCTATGTCCCAAGCAGCACAGCGGACACCCTGTTTCACCATAGCCTTGGAAAGGTGAGCAGACCCACTGAAAATTTCTAGAACCCAGAGCTGGCGGTCTTTCGCTTTCTCCGGCAGAAAAATCTTTGGGCCCAATGTTCCACTTGCTGCGGCGCCTGTATTGCAGCACGCTGTATCTTCTTGGGAAGCTTCTGGAATTCCTGATTGAGGCGTGCACTCGCCTCGTAGCGCCTCACTGAACTGTCTGACAACCATCTCCCTCTCCTCTTGACCTCCAAAAGACTGCGATGTTTCACCATCCGGTCGTAAGATGGACCACTGTGCCTCAGCTGATAAAGCACGGAATGCGTCTTGCAAAGGCCCAAATCCACAAGTGCGCCTTGCCAGGCGTCTCGCAGGCTTCGGTAGTCCACCTGGAACATCATCACCCCTCGATGGAGGCTTAGATGGTGACGCAGCAAAAGTCCCATCCATGGGGTGGTCTTCGAGTCGAGGAGAATGGTCTCGTCTGATAGTCCCACTTTTGAACTCTCCTGACGGTCCGATGGATGCAGATTGAGGCTGAAGAACGGATGTTGAGCCGTTGGCTCCACCAAGTCTTCTCTCCGCAGGCTTAGGGCCTCCCCTGGCCTCAGGTAGGCGTCGAACATGAGGAGGACTAACAGAGCTTGATCGATCAACTCTTTCTGAACCAGCTTCATGACAATGGCCGCAATCAGCTCCCAAGGCATGGGAGGCCTCGTCGCCCCTGGATCCAAGCGGTACCATCCTTGCAAGCAACGTCTCGATCGAGGGAGGCTCTCCTTGCCTGTGCAGCCTGGCACGCTGTCGATGAGGGCTGCTAGGTGCTTTGTTGCATCGCCAATGTCGTTCCCTTCTTCGAAGAGACTGTTCAGAAAGATGCAAAAACTCTCGTCCAATTTCTTCTGCCCACGAAGGGAGAGCTTGTGCTGTCTGGCAAACTTCCGAAAAATCTGCATCCGGTGCTTGTAATCCACGGCCACCTCCATGGAAATTGCGCTCTGTTCCAGGAAGGTTTGTCCTGTGAAGCGCTGGGTCAACTGATTGTCTTTCATGTAGGTGGCCCTCTTTTCCGCTCTTCCCTCCTTTGTATTGCTTTGAAGGCATTGTCGAACGGCTTGTCTGCTGTTTGCTGATCGTTTCTTTTGTTGAGGAGGTGTGGTCACTGCTGTGAGCTTTCCTGGCACGTTCCCAACGGCGAGAGCCTTCATCCGCAACGTTGATCTCACTTGGAATCCAGCGGAGGCTCAAGCTGGAGGAAGTTGCAAGCAGTAAACATGCTACCCTTCTACAAACCCTCAACAGCGGAAGCGACGAACTACGGCCCTTCTCTAAAGCCAGAACAGTACCCAAATTGTCACATAAGTGTACATGCCTCTGATGAAAGCAGGACAATGACCGAAATTTGTGCCTCAAAGTTGCAACCACTGCTCGACCCTCTAAAACTGTTATGGCCTCTGGGAACTGCATGTGCTGCGCAAATCTCAACTGCCAATCTTCCTTCTTTAAAAGCAATGGATCTACTTCAGGAAAATCTACAACCAGTTCAAGGGGGGTCTTCATGCTCTGCTCCTATTGGTTTTACGGACTCAGGGTCAGCGAATGGATCCAGTCTGCTCAGTGCCCTCTGTCGAGGACGGTCTGCTGGGTTCCTTCCCTTGAATCGCCAACCTTCTTTGAAGCTTCCAAGTTCTATGACTGTTGTAATAGACTCTTGCTTGGAACAGACTGCAATGCCCGAGAGTGATGCATCTGAGCTAGTGAGCTGAGTGGAAGGAACCCGTCTAAGGTCCGCTGTGCTCAGACTGAGGAGCTCCCCAATCCAGCGTGCCTCAACAGCAGCCACCGCCCAAAGTCGTCGTCTCGAGTGTCCTGCGTATTGCACAAAGTCATACAACCGTCTTGGAATGCTTAGCAACTCTCTTCTCAACAACATGAAATGAACCGCATGGCCCAACAACTTCTGGATTGCATGTCCCGTGACCCTTGGTCGCCGACTCAGCCATCTGAAGGCCATCTGCACCGTGTGCAGTCGATCTGCAACCGGCCTGACCGTGCCAGCCACTCCGTCAATGCAATAACCCAACGACTGAGCCACTGTGCAAGCATCCAACTCCTCATGAACCAAAAGTCCAACGTCCCTAAGTCTCTTCACGGCCCCATCTTTTGCAATTTGAACTCGCCTCTGATCCACTCCAGCCACATTCAAATTGTCCGCGTAAGGCAGAAGAAGTACCTGGGTGTCAGAAAGGTCGGGAGCCGGCTTGCATCCACGAGTACTCGATCCTGTGAAACGCCTGCTCCTATCTGCGACTGCACCTGATGAACTCTCTGTGAAAGCCACATCGCCCACGACCACCCCATGGGCACCACTCGCAACTGCGGATGCGCCCAGCCATCATAGATGAGGGAGCCACCCTGTTCAGCGCTCACACCCCAGTGCCTCAACAACGAGGCTGGGATTGGCGGCATACAGAATAGACTTCGGAGGCTCTCTGGTAGTTGCAACGAGTAAAAGTAATCCTTGATGTCTGACTGTGCAACAAAAAGCTCCTTTCCCTCTGGGATGGACAGCCTTGCCCAGGAAGCACCCGTGCCAGCTGCTAAAGTGGGAGGCGGCCTAAACCGACGATTCGTGTCTCTGCAGTCTAGGATGAGTCTCAGCTTGCCTGGTTTCTTTGCAACACAGAAGGGGGTCACCAAGCCTGAAGGTCGATTTGTGAACTCCACCATGCCGCACAAAAACAGGTCCTGAATGAAACTGCAATAAGTAGGGAGACTGTCTCTTAAAGTTGGGTCCATATATGTACAAATAGGTTGTTGTTTCTCCACCAAAGTCCCAATCTCATCGTCACTCAACAACATACACCGCTGGGGGTCCTCGATAGTTTCCCGGCCAACGTCATCTAGAACTCCTCTAAGGTCAACTGCCTGGTTGCCCGTTGAAGGAATCGAGAGCAGGCCTCTGTCGTAGGGCCTCACCATTGTAGTAACCTCGCCCGAGTAGGACAGGTCGGATTGCAGAAGCTCTTGTGCAGCTTCACGCATAGTCAAAAATTTGGCGGGGCTCCTTTTTGTTGAGAGGTCCCTAAACAACTCATGCTGACATGCATACTGTGCTGAGGTGACAGGATGAGCAGAACAAAAATCGCCTTCTCGGCTGGAGGAATACATCTCATTCAGAATGTTGATGACTGAATTTAAATTGTCGACAATACACCTAACTCTGAGTATATACTTTTTTTGTCGGTGTCCGGTGGCCGGTCCGGTGGCCGGTGGCCGGTGCCGGTGGCCGGTGCCGGTGGCCGGTGGCCGGTGGCCGGTGCCGGTGGCCGGTGCCGGTGACCGGTGGCCGGTGGCCGGTGGCCGGTGGCCGGTGCCGGTGGCCGGTGGCCATGGCCCGTGGCCGGTATAGCCGGTCCGGTAGCCAGTGGCCGGTGGCCGGTGGCCGGTGCCCGGTCCGTGGCCGGTGCGGTATAGCCGGCGCCGGTGGCGGTGGCCCGTTTAAACCCCCTCTAGCGTAGGTCCATTTCCATGCTCGGACTCAGACCTCCTGGAATTTCTAACTTGACTGAACATCAGCTGCAACACAGCCACATCCACCTGACGCCTGCAAGATTGACACGTCTACTTGATGCTAAAATATCGATGTCAAAACACCATGAGACGCCTTGCTGCTGCCTAGCCCTTTTTTTCGGACTGACCCAGGTCCATGGCTGGTGCTCTAAGCCGCAGCTTGCAACTGCACCACATTAGCAAGCTGTAGCCTGGTGTCTGCTTCGGAAGCCAGAAACAACCAGAACATCGCCCCAAAAGAGGTAACCAAGGAATCCCGCTTGAAAGATATTGAAAGGTATTGGACACCGCTTTATACATGATGGTCTCATTGCATACTTGTATACATATATTTATACAAAATGATTGCACGAGCTGGCTCTTCAAACTCGCCTGTTTGGAGGCCAAGTGGCCTCAAACTGTGATCGGCAATGCAGGGGTAAAAGGTTGAGAAGGAAGTTGCCCTTCCATGTGGACTCACCCCTTTGTCGGCAATACAGGGGTACAATTTAGAGAAGGAAGTGGTCGTTCCAAGTTGAGTCACCCTTGGTGAGGCACTTGAGGGTAAACTTGAGAGAAGGAAGTGGTCGCTCCAACTTGACTCACCCTTTTGTGGGCAATGCAGGGGTGAAATTTAGAGAAGGAAGTGGCCACGCCAAGTTGACTCACCCCTTTGTCGGCAATGCAGGGGTAAAATTTAGAGAAGGACGTTGCCACTTCAACTTGGCTCATCCCTTTGTGTGGGCAATGCAGGGGTAAATTTTAGAGAAGGATGTTGCCATTTCAACTTGCCTCATCCCTTTGTGTGGGCAACGCAGGGGTAGAATTTAGAGAAGGAAGTGGTCTTTCGAACTTGACTCACCCTTTTGTGGGCAATGCAGGGGTAAATTTTTGAGAAGGAAGTTGCCCTTCCAAGTGGACTCACCCCTTTGTCGGCAAAGCAGGGGTACAATTTAGAGAAGGACGTTGCCATTTCAACTTGACTCATGCCTTTGTGTGGGCAATGCAGGGTAAAATTTAGAGAAGGAAGTGGTCATTCCAACTTGACTCACCCTTTTCTGGGCAATGCAGGGGTAAAATTTAGAGAAGGATGTTGCCATTTCAACTTGACTCACCCGTTTGTGGGGCATGCAGGGAGAAAATTTAAAGAAGGATGTTGCCATTTCAAGTTGACTCATCCCTTTTATGGGCAATGCATGGGCAACATTTTGAAAAGGAAGTGGCCATTTCAACTTGACTCATCCCTGTCTGAGGGCAACGCAGGGGGAAAATTTAGAGAAGGAAGTGGTCGTTCCAAGTTGACTCACGCTTTGGTGAGCCACTTGAGGGTAAACTTTAGAGAAGGAAGTGGTCGTTCGAACTTAACTCACCCTTTTGTCGGCAACGCAGGGGTAAAATTTAGAGAAGGATGTTGCCAGTTCAACTTGACTCATCCCTTTGTGTGGGCAGTGCAGGGTAAATTGTAGAGTCGTAGAGAAGGAAGTGGTCATTCCAACTTGGCTCACCCTTTTGTGGGCCATGCAGGGGTAAATTCTAGAGAAGGAAGTGGCCCTTCCAAGTTGACTCAACCTTTTGCGGGGCATGCAGGAAGAAAATTTAGAAAAGGATGTTGAAATTTCAACTTGACTAACCCTGTTGTGGGCAATGCAGGGGCAAAATTTAGAGAAGGATGTTGCCATTTCAACTTGAATCATCCCTTTGTGTGGTCAATGCAGGGAAAAAATTTTAGAAGGAAGTGGTCGTTCCAACTAGAATCACCCTTTTGTGGGCAATGCAGGGGCAAATTTTTGAGAAGGAAGTGGCCATGCCAAGTTGACTAGCCCTTTTGTGGGCCATGCAGGGGGAAAATTTAGAGAAGGATGTTGCCATTTCAACTTGACGCATCCCTTTGTGTGGGCAACGCAGGGGAAA